AAAACATGTGAATAGCAGGGTTTCGTAGCATCGTGGCGAGAAAACCATGCTATTCACATGTTTCTGTTTGGTTTTCAGCTGGAAAACCCCCCCCCCCCCCCCAAAAAAAAAAAAAAAAAAAAAAAAAAAAAAAAAAAAAAAAAAACGGTGAATAGCATAGTTTTCTCGCCGCCAAACCACCAAACACTGCCATTCACAAGTTTTTCTGGCGCTCATCGGCGCCGACCATCGCCGGCGGAGTTTGCAGACCTCTGAAAACCAACCCCCCCCCCCCCCAAAAAAAAAAAAAAAAAAAAAAAAAAAAACTGTGAATAGAAGTGTTTCGCGGTATCACTGACCAAAAAAATGAATAGCAGTGTTTTGTTGCCCTGCTGTTCCTCCTCCTCCTCCTCCTCCTCCTCCTCCTCCTCCTCCTCCTCCTCCTCCCCCTCTTCAGCCCCCTCGTCCTCTTCGTCCTCCTGCCTCTCCTTGTCCTCCCCCTGCTAGCCCGACCCCTTTTATTATTACTCCTCCCGTGCTCATCGTTTTCCTCCCCCGCCTTCTGCCTTCTCTCCCTTCTTATTCTTCTCCTCATCATCATGTAAAACATCCGTCAGAAGGTGGTGTTGCTCCTGTCGGCCGCAGGCGCAACAAATGGCACAACCCAACTCGGCTGTACGCTCGGCCGCTGATGGCGCAACAAATGGCACAACCCAACAAATGGCTCCTGGGACATGGCTGCACGCTCGGCCGCTGATGGCGCAACTTATATACTGCAGCCGAAAGAAGAATATTGCATTCTCAGCCGCCGAGGGCGCAGCCTCTGGCGCAACCACTCGGAGACGGTTGCATTTTCGGCCGCCGAAGGCGCAATTGTTATGATGACGCTAAACCCACATTTCGCTTCGCGGATTGCATCTGCATGGCGAGTGCGAGTCTGACCATACACCTGGCCCCATAAGAACACTTCGGCAGAGCCGATTTAAACGACGCGTGCGCACGCGCGCCTGGTGCCGAGTCACTCAGCGGGCTCGGTCAAGCCAGCGAGAGAGCTCACTGGCCGTAGTCCTTGGCCCACGCGTCGCGGAGCATCTGGCCAGTGGCGAGCCAGAGGTCGCTGCCGCGGTTCCAGTACGCCCATTGGAAAGAACGCACCTTGCATGGGCCAGAGAGCGGACAGGAACTGCGCATGTCGCGCTGGACCGCCTCTCCAAATCCCAGCGCGTGCCCCCCGCCAACCTTTTCGCGCGGGGCGAATGACACGTCCCACCCCCTCAAGGGCGGCGTTCAGCTGCACTGAAATTTGAAGAGGCGGCGCCAGCGCGAACAGACGCGGCACGCGCCGTTCAAGTTGCCTGCCTTGTTGCGGAGGAGGACAGAGCCCACCGTCTTCGCGTTGCCCTTGCCGACTGCCTTGCGCAAGTCGCCCCAGGCACGGTCGATCAACTGCGTGCCGCACTTCACCCACAAGCGTTGCGTCCCACTGGGCTTGTTCTCGTCAGGCACATCGCGGTAGCGGACCTTCGTGAAAGCAGGCTTCAGCCACACCCACTTCCCGCCAACCTGCACCCTTTTCTCTTTCTGGACAACCCAGTCGTGCAAGACGTCGTCGACCTTCATCTTGTACGACCTCGCACCGTCTGCGTGCAAGATGACACGGCGGTTTTTCAGCCACTTGGACGCCACGGGCGCCCAACCTCTCTTCCGAATTGGGCCTGGGCCAGGCGCCCTGCGCTTGGCCTTCTCAGGCTTCAACCTGAAGAGGACCAACGACTTGGGGTTACCCCGCTGCACGATGCCGCCCCACTGTGCCCACGCGATGGGCTTCTGAGCGCGGGGGCCAGCGTTCGGGTCCTCGCCCCTGGCCACGTCGACCTCGTCCGCCTCGACGTCCGCCCACTCGAGCGCGTTGCCGTCCTGGTCCATGCCGAAGACGATGTTCTTCTCATGGCAGTTGACGTGCTTGGCGCGGGCCGCGTACAGCGCAGAGTAAATGCTCTCTGCCATCTTGTGGTTGTTCTTGAGCAAGAGGCGAGCCGACGCCTGCGAGCACTGGGCCACGGCGCAGAACAGCACGGCAGCCTGGTCGACCAAGCGCTCCCCCGACGATCCCGTGCCACACTTGAAGATCGGGTGGAAAGCGCGCGGCAAGAGGTGGCGTCGGCAACTGTCGCTCGTGCATTTGTGGGACCACCCGCCCTTCTTCTTGCCATGGTTTTTCAAGGGGGGCCAGCGCGCCAACCCCGCAGTAAGGGCACGTGGCGCCCTTCCACTCGGGCAAGAGCTTGTCATTCTTCAGCTTGTCGATCACCTGCTGAGCGGTCACGTTCACGAAGTCCTTCAAGCACCGAGCCCAGACTGCCCTGTCGAGACGGGACCTGGATGAAGAAGACCCGTGGCGCGTGTATGGGACGTTCTTAGGCTTGCGGATCAGTGGGCTTTGCCTCACCCTCTTCACCGCCACAGGCCTCGAGGCCATGCGGGCCTTCCCACGCTTGGCGACTGGCCAGGGCTGCCCCATGGGCGAGGCGCGCGAGGGGCGGAAGTCAAGCCTTTGACGGGGCTCGGCGGTCACGCGTGATGCGTCTCTCTGGTTTGAGCCAACAGAAACAGGAGTCGGATGCTCTGGCTGGGTGCTGCCGGCAAAAGATGCGCGCTGGCGAAGCGATTGGTAGCGCCCAAACAAGGATGAAGATGAGGATGTTCAACCAACGCCGTTGTGTTTGCAAACCATATGCACAGCCGCGCCTTCTCCCTCTGCGCGACCGTGGCCAGGGAGATGAAGCGGCACCTCTCCGACTAAAGCTTGTCGCACTTGGCCTGCGATTTCGGAGAGGAACACTTGGTCTTGGAGGGCGGTTTGAAGGCCGACGGACTTTGTCACGCCCTCCCAGGGGCGCGCTTGGGCGGGCACCGAAGTTCGTCGGCCTTCAAAGGCTTCGGTGTTCAAGAGCCAAGCCTTCTTCTCTGAAAAGGCTTGCTGAAGGCGCGCGCCCCCTCCTTCGCGCCCCCCGCCTTGCCCTGGGCCTTCGCCTTCCGTGCCTGCCGCTTTTTTTTCGGCGAGGCGCCGAACGAGAAGCAAACGGAGCGAGGACTAGCACGCTGAGGAAACCGCTCCCGAGGGGTCCCGCGGGAGACCTCGAAGAGGCCTAAAACTCCACCCTCGCAGGCAGCTTGCGTGGCAGAAGCCGGTTTCCGAGTTTCGAAGGGGGGGGGGGGAAAAACAACAACAAACAAAAAAAAAAAAAAAAACCTTGCTCGCTCCCTTCGGGCGCGCCGCCGTGCCTCAGGCGCGCCGTTTCCTCGACCAAGTGCTCCAGCTTGCCGTTATTGCTCTTGGCCTTCTGTAAGGCCTTCTGGTTGTCGTCGGCTGCGCGCTGGGTGGGGGTCTGTTACGTGTTGTGTTGTGGCGGACTGATGCGCGCCGCGCTGTCCGTGTTGGTGTTGGTGTTGGTGTTGTTGTTGCTGTTGTGGTGTGTGTTGGTTGGTGTTGGTGTTGGTATTGTGGTGGGTGTTGTTGCTGCTGTGTTGGTGTTGGTGTTGGTGTGGTGGGTGTAGGAGGAGGCGGATCATCGGAGTGATCGCATGCTGGAGGACGGGGTGCTGGGGGGGGGGGCTGAGCATATATATATATATATATATATATATATATATATATCAACTAGAACCACGCGCGCTTCGCGCGCGCTTAGGTTCTAGTCGACCCCATCCCTTGAGGAGGTCCCGTATCCACTGAAGTGATTACCCATTGATGGTGTAAGCATGAGGTACAAGAAGCATCCATAATGCAGGCCGAACAGAACCCAAGCACCGACAATGACATATGCTCCTTAATCCGCCGACCCTGTCGGCGTGTGTGAGGCGCTCTTCCGTTTGTCGTCGTAGGGGACGTCGTCGCCGTCGTCGTTGTCGTCGTCGTCGTCCTCGCCATCTTCCCCCTTTCCCCGGGCACTCTTCCTCAACCGATCCAGCCAATACGAAATCGAATCGAACAACGAAGGGAAGCACCTTCCCTTGATCCCTTCCCCAGCGGGGGGGGTGTCCCGGGGCAACTCCCGGGGGGTGGTCCCAGCGGGTGGTCTCGGGAGGTGGTCCTGGGGGGTGGTCCCGGGGGGGTCCCTGGGGCCCGTGGGGTTCCTGTTGTTGTTTTGCCGATCCCGAATATGTGGCGGAGGATCCCCGGGACCCCCCCAAGAACCCGGGGGAGAGAGCCTCTCCTCCCTTCCCCCCAGAGTCCCCGCTTTGCCCCCCTTCCAAGCGTCCCATGCTCCCCCTGTCCACAGGAGGGAGCCCCCCCCCCACTGGCCAGTCCCCCCCTCCACAGGGGGGAGCGACCCCCCTTGGTCGTCGTCGTCGTCGTCGCCGCCGCCGTCGTTCAGGGTCGGCGGCACCGGCAGTAAGGCCTCTCCAGTATTCAATTCGAAGCTACGCAAGCCAGTTTAGCCAAACACATGCAAGGCTATGAATGCAATGCAAAGCAGAGGAAAGCGATGCTCATAAGTGCAATGTGGATCACGAAACAATGCAATTGCACATGCAACGGAAAGCAGCCCAGTGGAACGCAATGCAATACAATGCACGATAAGACAAAAGACCGAGAGAGTCCGAGGCGTCACGGAACACAGAGATCCCAGGGACGAGCCGCCCTGGGAAGAGCCCAAGAGGACCCCAAGGGGAGCCCAAGACAGGGTCAAAGGGCACCCAAGAACATCCGATGAGTTCTCCGAGAGAGGCTAAGGGGGGCCCAAGCGTGGCCCCGAAAGAGCTCCAAGCAGGCTCCAGGACGAAGCACAGGAGGGCCCCAAGAGGCGCCCCAAGAAAGCCCGAAGATAACGACAGAAAGAGAGGGTCCAAGGAAGTGCCTCCTCAGCGCGACAAAAAAACGCAGAGGCCCACAATGAGCCCCAAGAAGGGCGTTCTCAACAGCCCCATCCCTCGAGAAGGTCACAGCTCCACTGAAGCAGTGACCCACAACTGGCTTGAGCTCGAGGTAAAAAAGTATCGATCATGCGGATGGAAGCGAGACCTACGGCCCCAGATGAAGGCGGGGTTCACATGGCGCCCCCCCGTCAGTTTCGGCACGGCACTCACACGGATCTTGTCCCCCCGGGAGCTCCTCTTTCGGGTCCAGGGACAAAGTTCGCACGGCGTCGCTCCGCCCATCTCGGCACACCCAACACACGAATCGTGCCCCAGAGGGATGTCGTTTCACGTACGGCCTTAGTGTGGGGATTCGCATAACGTCACGTCCCCCACCCCACGCGTATGTCGACTGTCTCCTCACACGAATCGTATCAACAGGGAGCTCCACCGACGGTTCCAGAGCCAACGTTCGCATCCCGCCGCCCCGTCCATGGCAGTAGATACACCCCTGACCTGGATCGTGAGTTCGGGGCGTCTTGGGTGCTTCTGTGGGCCACGCGGCATGTTTCTGTAAGGCCTCTAAAGCCCTGAGATGGATCGTGAATCGGGAGCCTCTTGAAGCCTTTTCTGGGAGCCTCGTGCAGGACGTCGAAGCGAGACCTCCCATACGCTTACGGGTGACTACTGGGAAGCCTCCTGGGACCGTTTTGGGAGCGTTTTTGGAGTCTCTGGGGGCCTCTTGGGACCTTCTTGGGGGTCCTTTTGGGGCTCTTTGGAGCTCTTTGGGGCCCTCTTGGCCCGTCCCGGGGCCCTCTGGGACCGTCTTGAGCGCTTGGGCCGTCTTGGGGCCCTCTTGGGCCGTCGAGGGTGCCTCCTGTGGCCCTCTTGGGGCTCCCTGGGGACTCTTTTGGGAACCTCTGGGGACCGTCGTGGGCCGTCGGGGGGCTCTCATGGGCCGTGTTGGAGCTCTCTTGGGCCGTCTTGGGGCCCTCTTGGGGGCCTCTTGGATCGTCTTACGGCCGTCTTGGGGGCCTTTTGGTCCGTCTTGGGCGCTGTTAGGACCGAAGAAGCGAATATGCGAAAAACGTACGTTTTCCGAAAGGAATTTGGCTGTTTTTGCCTTTTGGTGACCTTCTGGGAGGCCTCTTGGGCCGTCTTGAGGGCCTCTGAGGCCAAAAATATAAATTTCCCGCTGGTTTGTGAAAGATTCGAATTTCCTGAGGACCTTTTAGGAAGCCTCTCGGGCACCCTTGGGGGCCTCCTGGGCCGCCTTGGAGCGCTCTTGGGGTCCTCTTGGTGCGTCTTGGAGAGCTCTTGGGCCATCTGTAAACAATCGTGGGCGGATTTAGGGCTGCTCTGAGCCTCGGGGGCGGGTCCCGGAGGGCTCCTGGGAGGGGGGCACTACCTATGTACAAGGGGGGGGGCTGCGGGTCCCCGGGGTCGGAATCCCCCAAATGTGTGTATAAAAAATGACTTGGGCCTATGTAGACTCCCTTGGGAAGCCTCTTGGAGGCCCCTTGGGACATCTCGGGGCCCTCTCGGGCCGCCGTCGGAGGTCTTGGAGCTTTCCTTGGGGCCCTCTTGGGGCTCTCCTGGGGCCGTCTTGGTGCCCTCTGGGGCCGTTTTCGCCCTCTGGGGCCGTCGCACTCGAACAAATACGAGGAATCGCGCCATGGGAGCCGCCCGGGAGCCGCTTCACTCGAAAAAATACCAGGGAAGCTGGCCATGAGACCTGATTCCCCCCCCCAACCCCCCTCCCCTGGAACCCCTCTCTAGAGGGCTTCGCCCCACTAGAACGCCATCACTCATACCTCGCTCTTTCCGTTACATGGGCAGGCACGGTAACGGAAAGAGCGCATCAGAAACTTGCCCGAGGTGGCTCGTGGCACCGTTCTGTCTTGGGAGCCTTGGCGTTAAGAGTTATTTGCATCACCGATCGCTAGTGGGAACCTTGGTGTGAAGGACTTTTGACGTTACCGCTCGCTCTTGGCAGCCTTGATGTTCTGAGCTTGTCACGTCACTGTGAGCTCTTGGGAGCCTTGGTGCTCAGAGCATGTAACGTCACCGTTCGATCTACATACAAAAGACTAATAAAATCAATGTGTCGGGGCCTCCTCGGGGTCCCATGCAGTCTGGGGGCCCTCTTGGGCCAAATCGGGGTCCTTGTGAGCCGTCTTGGGGCGTCTTGGAGTCTTTGGCCGTCTTGGGGCTCTGTTGGAGGCCTCTTGGAGCCCTCTTGGAAGCCTCTAGGGGCCATCTTTGGGTTCTCTTGCGGCCGTCTTCGGGTCCTCTTCGGCCGTTGTGGGTACCTCTTGGCCCATCTTGGGGCCCTCTTGGGCCGTCTTGGGGCCCTCTTGGGCCACCTGGGGCCGTCTTGGAACGAGCTGTGGATCCTCCTGGGCCGTTTAGGGCCGTTCTGGGCCCGAAGAGGCAACTCTGGGACCAGTTTGGAGCCCTCTGGGGCCGTTTTGGGGCTCTCTGGGGCCTCTTGGAGCCCTTGAGCCGTTTCACTCGAAAAAATACGAAGGGGCTGGCCACGGGAACCGCCCGGGAGCGGCTTCACTTAAAAAATTACAAAGGAAGCTGGCCATGAGACCTGATTCCCCCCATATCCCCCTCCCATGGAAACCCTCCCCGGAGGGCTTCGCCCCACCAAAA